AGATAAATTCACATATAAGAGTCCTTAAGAACATATAAGTTAAGTTCTTAAGAAGAGATAAATTCACATATAAGAGTCCTTAAGAACATATAAGTTAAGTTCTTAAAAAGAGTGATCTATATTCGCACAGTGTGATCTATATTCATTATATTCGCAGATAAATTCGCAGATAAATTCGCCAGTGATCTACATGTTTCAGAATCAGGAATGTAAATCTCTAATGAAATTTGAAAAGGAAGGTTTCTGTCTTACTTGTGCTGCTTTGCACAAAGTGATGGCCATGCCAGTTGCACCATGACTCCATTGCACTAACTTATCCCTTGGATTCCCTTCACTGGAGGGGTAGTTTCCACTGCGAGGGAACCGCTTACTCATGAGGTACCTCAAAGTTCCCTTGACATCTTCAGCATCCTCACTGGAAAGTGGAAAATGAAGCAGCACATGAAGGATACCAGCAAGGCCATTTGCTGCACCAAGGTACCTTGTTCCGTGCCATCTATACATCAATGGACAGTCTTTAATGTCAGACGCTCCTGCTCTACCACCAGCCAACACTGCATCAATGATCGGTACAAGAATGTCCTTTGGCACTGCTTCTTCTCCTAAGTTCTTGTTTAGGAATAGTGCACCCCATAAGAATCCAGCACGTCCGTACATAAGATCATATGACATTCCAAAACCACCTTCCTCTGGTCCTACTGGTAGGGCTTTCTCTTTTGCCACCTATTCATTAATCCCATCAAAATATAAAAAAATATATATATAATCATAGTAGATCTTCTTCAACATATATTTGTCCGATACAAAGATTCCAACAGATATGAAAGCACTTATTTTAACAATGTAGCTTTTATAAATGAAGAATATGAACCACGAATCACTTCATGAAGTGTACAAACAAATTCGTCAAAAAAAAAATATTACGTGGTTTGGCAACGTTGTCCTTAAAAAACAGAGACAAAATAATGCAGACAGACATAAATGAATTTCATTTTCATGATTTTTACCTCAATGAACAGAGCCAAAAACAAGTCACGCTTTCTGAGGTCCCCCATGTAATTGGTAACGACAGCACCAAGCGCGTAAACGCCTCCATTACCGCATAAAAAAGTCACGTGTCTGTAACAAACAAGCAGTATCTCTTACTTTAGAAAAGTATACCCAAAATGTCACATAAGACTTTTGTACATTTTAAAAGGGTTAATTATCATGTTTCTTTTAAGAAAATTAAGAAAAAAAAAATTAGAACCGACTGAAATTTGACAAGAAATCCCATTATCAATTTGATATGTTTTGATTTCAAAATTTCTAGTACGTTAGCATTTGAGTTGCATTTTAATTAAATTACTGGAGAGGGTGTTCATGTACTTAAAACATATTAAAAAGGGTATTTGTAATCTCCAGTGTGGCATTCGGCCATCCATGTATATTCTCATATCTTATTAAATTACCATAATCGAATCTCCCCAAATTGCCTGAAATTAACGCCAAACTCGACGTCTTTATAATATCAAATCAAAAGATGAAACAACAACCATCCATGGCCTACCCACGTCGAA